TATGTAGTTTAAACACACATTTCATCTATATATTTATCATACATATTGTAATTTTACTTTGATTTATTTTTAGGAAGGCAAAGAGGTTAAAAAAGGATCCAAATATGTCCTTAGAAGTGATCTAATGTTTTCCTAACAATACATCATATAATATAAATTATTTTTCCTTTGTATTCTGCTTGAATTATTTTCATTTTGCTCTACAGAGATATATCTTTTATAATATTTAAGTTCTTCGACACTTTCTTTGATGTCTTCCGATGCACGATGGACAAATCTCTTTGGTGCCATATTGTAAAGATGTTAGGGTATACCGTCTACATAACATCAATTATACGATAATACAAGTAATCAATAACTTGTGGAATTTATTTTTTCAAAAATATTTTATCTGCATAAACGCTATTCTCTGCAAGAAGTGCGATTCCTTCTGGGATATGTTTTTTTTTTTAGGAATTCAATGCATGCGTATTTTTTTTTATTTATTTAAATCAAATCAAATGTATTTAAATATTAATAACAATTTTATTAACCTCTCCATGATGTTTCTTGCACCAATCATTCATATTATCCGTAATTTCTTTTAATTAATAATTAGATCAATTAGATCAGGTCCCTTATTATTAATATTATTACTTTATCAATTAATATTAACCTTAATATTTATCAAGAAATCTTCTATTGTGTTCAAAAAAAAAATTTAATGTTCTTATATATCCCAAATACTACATTATATTTTTAATATAATGCAAGCCACTTGGTCTCGCAACTTTTTATTGGTCATGTAGATCCTTCAAATCCTCCAAAAATGGAAATGCAAACCTCAAAATAAATCGTGTTTTGAAGCCAAAACCTTCCTCTACAAAGTTACAATTTCATTTAATTGATATGTCATGCTGTTGCGGAGGATTTGAGCTTCAAAGTTGCACAAGTTTACCGAGTTTGCTATGTTTAGCCCTGAAATTGAAACAAAATAAAAAGTTTTCCGGATGGAAAAAAATACAACAGCTAAATTCGTTTAATTTTCCGCGATCCATAATAATAAAATTACTACAAAATCATTTTCTCTTCAAGTGACGTTTTTATCAAAAGTTCATTTTATTGTTCTGACAATTAATTAATTAATTAATTAAATCATTGGGTTAGTTTAAATCAACAAAAATATAATAATTTTTTTATTTGTTCTAATTATAATATAATTTTTCTCTTTCTTAAAATATATATATATAAATTTTTTTTAATCACAATATCAGTGTAGATATATACAGTTGGCTCTGAATATAGTGAACCTATTATATAGTGAATCGTACTATATAATGAAGTTAGAAAAATTCCAATTTCATTATATACAAATTGCTATTGATATAATGAATTTTAATATAAACTCTCTATATAAGCATTTAATGAAGTTTGTCTTGATCCATCAATAGTAAAATAAGATCTCCATATAATGAAGAAATTATTAAAACATATCGATCATTCCTTTTAAAGGGAAATAGTATTACTAGTAATAGTAATGAAACGATTAATGAAATATTTATGATTCAAAAAATCATCATGTAAAAAATCAACTAAATAAAAACTATTCATACAATATTTACAGTCTAAAATTACCATCATGTAAAAAATTACTCACATAAATAATTACTAATAAAAAAGATCAATGATCGATTTTGTCACATGTGATAAAACAAAAGTCCACTATGCTACTAGAAAGATGGTCCACATAATTTATTTCATTAATGTATTTTTTTTATTCGAATAATAAACATCAATATACTTTTAACTGATGAAAATTTCACATGACATTTGGCGATCTTTTTATATAATGAATCGTCTATATAATGAAGTTTTTCCAAAAACAAATGCTTCACTATATCCAGAGCCAACTGTAAATAGTTCAAAAATCATGGTGGACAACCAAAAAATGCAGTTTGGCAACATTTTGAATGTTATCCTTCAAAACATCCAGGATATTTTGGAGCCAAATGCAAAACATGTAATTAATTGTAAATGGAGTAATGGAGTTGTTAATAAACTGCAAGTCCATTCAGCACATGAATGTGAATATATCAAAAAAAGATATATGTATATTGTTGCAGAAAGAGATGGTGTAAGTGAATCTTTGTAAAATGCAGCATATAAAGCAAATACACAATCACTTGCTAATTTTTGGGATAAAGATGAGATATTATTTAAAAATGTGCAGGAATTATTGATCATTCAATTTTAAAGACTTTTGTGGTATCTAGAAGTATTTGATTCTGATTCAATTCCTGAAATTTCACCTCCATCAAATTATGTAAAAAAATTATTATTTTTTAAAAAAACTTTATTAATAATGAGTGATAATAATAATAAGCAAAAATAAAAAATAAAGATTAAGAATATTTGTTTGGTTTGGGATTTTTAGGAGTTTCGAAACAGTTTAGGAGTTTCTAACAGTTTAGTAATTCACGTTCATTTTTTAAACCAGTTTAGAACGGTTTTAATTTCGAATAATTCTAAACTCATGAGTTTCGGAAGGCAAAATAATCAATTAACTTGTTTTACGAATTTGCTGCCTCTTACTTGTACCTAGAAAGCTCAGCAAATCTGCAAGCACGTTAAAGCATGTATCGATGCAGAAGGAGAACACATAGAATATTAATTTAATAAAAAAAATGTAACTTTAGTGTTTGTCTTTGTATATACAAAAAAAAAATTTTTTTGGTTAATAATAAATTATATGCGTAATCTCAAAAAATCTGTCCGCCATTCTTTTCGCCGGGGACTGTAAAGTTTCTATTCGAATTATTTGTTTTATTCGTTATGAGTGTTCAAATTACATTGAAAGTTTATTCGAATAATTCAAATAAGAATATTACAAATAGAAACTCTGGTTATGTATTACTCTGATAACCAAATAAGCAATTAAACCCTACCTTTTAATTTCCGACTAAAAAGTGTTTTTATTAAACAAAAGAATCAATTTTATTATTTAATTTGTAAAATGTTTGTTCAGAAATGAATTAATTAACAATTTTCTGCCTCTATTCTTATGAGCAAGACACTGAAATGTTAGGTAGCTAATTAGTTAGTTAAGTAATTACTAACTAATAGTAGATAATAGTCATTAGTAATTTTCCGCTTGGTCAGAAGCCATAATGATTTTTGTTAATCTTTAAAAAATCAATTTCTTCCACTAATTTATAATTTAAAAAAATTTTTTTTTAACAACTTTATCGAAGTGCCGGCCAACCATATTGCGAACATGTGGCCCAACATGTGGCCCAATATCTTCAGTCACAACCTAATTATGGCACTATGTCATTACGACCTGATTATGACAATTTGAAAATGGATGTCTAAAATATATTATGGCATTACGATATTACGGCATGTCAAATGTCATGATAGTTTGGCTGCAAAGGTATTGTGGGTGTGATGTAGAGAGTTTATCAATGATCTTGAAGGAAGGGAAGAGGGATCTTGATTTTTCAAGTTGGTAATGGAATGGTTTATGATGAAGTCGATTGTTTTTGAGTAAAGGAAACTGATGAATCTTAAATAATTTATATTTTATCCATCTTTTAAGTCGGTTATTGTTATGTGATTCTGACAATTTGTAACGTATTACCGTGCAGCAGAGGAGAGAAGTTGTCCTAATGATTTTTTATTTGTTCGATTCATTCCTCGAGGTCAAATACTATTTATGATGGGTATCAGGGGTATTTCCGTATGTAGTTACAGCTTGGAAGCATTGCCTCATATACTTGAAACACTTTCACTTGTGTTAAAAGGAAATTGATCATCAAGAGCCACGTGATAAAGTGCTGTTTGGTTAGCCAACTGAGAGCCTTCAAAAACAATTCGAGTCATCTTTCAAACAGCACTTTGGACTGCAGGCTCAAGATCTTTATCTTCAAGGAATCTTTCCAGTCCAGTTTTTATTGTGCATTGTTTGTATTTTGTGCCTTTTTCCTGAACGGATTTAGATGCAGAATGACTTTGAAATTCAAAATGGTTGCTTGAAGAACGCGAATGATTCAGTCCTTTACAAGTTAGACAATGACGTTCTAGATATTTAAAAAAAAAATATTCGAGTGTTATTCCTAAAAAATAGAGGCAGATAAATGGTAAATATTTACTTGGTTTTTTTTGTTGTTCTTTTTTTATGTCCTCGCTTGCCTTTCTTTTAGCTGCATTTTTAGAAGATTCCGCATTTGGTATATTAATATTTTTGTGTTTTTTTGTGGGAATCTCTACTTTGTCACTTTTCGTTTACTTGATTCCTGATTCCCTGCCATTTGTATGTACTAACGTTGAAATGATGATGGTGTTTGAATTAAAGCAGAATTGACAAAGTTCTTTAAATAAGAAATTTTTCTTTTATTTTTATTTTTTTGATTTCCTATAATGTATGATGACATTATTATATTATTATTTGTCAAAGGATTTTATTTTTAATTTCATTCTCTTTTGATGGCTTGGTATTTGAGCCTTAACCATTCTTGTTCTTGGTTCATACTCACTCAGGATTGGGGATAACCTTGCCGGCTACTACCATTTTATTGACAAATATAGAAAAAACGTAAATCATTCTTCCAAAATTATACTAACGAAACAAAAAAATTTCAAGGGAAAAAGGCAGTGTTACGAGTTTTGTATTGTGTTGAAAGAATAGAGATACTAACTCCGAGTTAAGTTTAGAGAAATAGGACAATAAAGCAATAGAGACTTTTTTTTATTTTAAGCTAGAAAATAAAAGTAAAAGTTGTGAATATATATCCTCCCTCTTATAGATATCTTCATGGTGGTGTAGTAATATTAGCCGAAAGAAAGTGGATTCGAAAATTTTCTGCTAAAGTTGAAATACCCTTCATCTAAATAATTTATTAATTGGTTTTTTTTTTTTTTACAAATTTAAGATGGATAGCTTTGGAGGGTCTAAACATTAAGGTGATGTGTGTGTGTTTATTATGTATAAATAAATGATTTTTTAATCTAAAAAAAATTGTTTATTTTTGTTTTCCTGAATATAGAGGTGAATCTTCAGCAATTGTATACTCCTTTCCACCAACTGTTGCATTACCGCCTTGAACTCCGAATGTTGTTACAGCTCCACAACTATTCTCATCAGATCTTAATGTTTGCCAAGAAATTCCATTTGCTATTTTATATATTAAAAAGATTTAAATTTAAATTTTTCAAAATAACTTATTTATCATCAAATAACTTACCTTTCTTTAATTTAATTTCAACCTTGGTAGATAAATATTCAAATTTGGATTTTTCAGGATCTATTTTTTCATATAATGGATAAATTTCCTTGAATATTTTACTATCAGAGAATCTCAAGTCAACAATTAACTATAAATTTTTTAAAATTATTTCAGAATCACAATAATAATAATAATAATAATAATAATAATAATAATAATAATAATAATAATAATCACAGTAGTAATAATAATAATAATAATAAACAATTATCTACCTCTTGTGATTGGAAATTTATAGTAGATTTTTGTTTATCAATCTTTTTTGCAAATATAGACATTATCACATTTGTTGGTGTTTGATACCTATAATAATATATTATTATTGTTATTACTTTCAATTTTAATATATACATATTTTCTGAATATTAATCATACCAATCATTTCGACAATTAACACGTTCTTCTATGTTGGTCTAAATTAATCAAATAAAAAAATACAAGATGTAAATATTTTACTTTACTTTTTTAAAAAAATTCTAATGATTGAAAAAGACATACATTTCCAACAAACAAATGTTTTCCTTTTTTACATCCTTTTATTTTCAAAAATTCTTCAAATTCTAAAACTTTACGAGTGCAACAACTCCAACCTAACAACAATGACATGTATAATTATCTCAAAAAGAAAAAAAATCAATTAATAATCTATATTGTGAGTGAATTTTTATTACCTTTACTTCCTTCATGAAAAGTTGCTGTACCAGGATGATAGATACATTCTGCTTCTGGACCTTCTCCACGGCTTGTTTTTTCATCAATGTATTTTTTACCACAACCTGATCTTTTACAAACAGTACCAACAGTAACAGGAATATTTGGATCATCATCTTCTGGTTCTTCGACTATCATTTGTTGTGGCTTGGTTTTTTCACTACTTGGTATTGTTGCGTTTGTAATTTTGGCATTTACCTCTTTTGATTGAACAAAAGGAATTTTTGGTCCAGAATATACTTCAACTCCTTCTCCTTCTCCTTCAGCTCTCATTGGTTCCTTATTATTGTTATCAATTAAATCATTTTTTGACAAGTCTGTGCTTGAAGGTGAAGGTTGTTGAATTTGATCAGTGTGTTGGCTAATAAAATAATTTGAATAAATAAAATAAATATTCAAGGAAAAACAAGGTTCAAATCAACAAAAAAATTTTTTTAGAAACATTAATCTTTAATTACCCTTTGGTGCATCCTGGAATAATAAGAAATTCATCAAATGATGTTACCCTTCGGTCACAACATTGCCATCCTTTTAAACCTTTGTTTTATTGTTTTTTTTTAATAATGATTTATGAAAATGTTGAAAAAATTTACAATCATCAGTTTTTACCTTCGTGAAATATTGGAGGTTTAGGATGGTAAAGGCATGCATTATCATTATTTTCTTCTTCAGTATAAGTTTTTTTACAACCTTCATGAACACACACTGGCATTTTTAACTTATTTTAAATTACAAAGTAGAAAAAAAATTTTATATATAAAGAGGGAAGTTAATTGTCGAGAAAATACTAGAACAATCTCTTCGACAAAAACCTGTATAATTGACAAACATTACACTGCATTAAAGTTGCAATTATGGATCACGGGAAAATCAATAAAACACAGAAATATTGATCAAGAGTCCAATTCGATAAAGTGTTACTCAATCAATGTAATAAACCAATAAAATAATTAACTCACTGAAATTATCAAGAAAGATTATTCTAAAAATAACTTGAAAATATGTGGAAGGTTCAAATTATGTTCAAGGAATACATTTAACAAACCAAGAGTTCTTGGAAATCAGATAACTAGATGGGTTGAACCTTTAACATGTATAAATAATGTTAATTTCATGTATCATTGTTATCATCATAAAAAATCTTTAACAATAATCATTTAATAAATAACAAACTGTTGAACTTGTCCTTATCCTTGTTGTTGTCTTTGTTGTCTTCAAATTTTTTATTTTTTCCCCAATTACTATCTTACCAGGGGGACAGACTCCTATACTAAGTGTAGTTGTATATGTTTATTTCTTTTCTTTTATTCTAGAAATAGGCCTTAGGAAGGTAACTGGGATCAGAAGGAACCTAGGTAAGGCCAGAAGATACTAGGCCAGTAATATTAAGAAAAGCCCAAAGGTACAAGGCTAAAGATATTAAGAATTTGGATGTTCCTGGCAAGAGTTTCTGCTGGAAAATTGTGATCAGGGGGTAGTTGGAATAATTTGCCAAAAATTATTATGGTGCGCGAAGTCTATAACCACCATTTACTGTGCCACACTGCCAAATTTCACCAAAAACTCAAAAACCAA